TTGCCGCCGCCACTGCCTCTGAGCCTCCATTGCACGTGTCCACCGCCACACACGGGGCCTCCGCCACACATGGCGCCACCACCGGCTCCTTGGGCAACGTCGGCTGTTTCTCCTCTGCAGTAATCTGCGACATCGTGTGGGTGTGCGTTGAGAACAGGTAAAACGGTCTTGCTTAAAAGATGTTGAACAAGGTGGGATACAAAGCAGCCTTCTTGAAACGGTCAGTCACTAGCGCAGCACGCAGCGTGCCAAACAAAGGGCGGTACCAACAATACATCAGAGAGACTCATATGAGAAAGAGCGATACAGCTAACTGGTACGTCCGTGCCGCATTCACTTCTTCTTCAGTGATCAAGCCGTTCGCATTTTTCTCCCACGCTAGCGCAGAGCGGCATTCAGTAATAGTACGAGAGCATGCTTCAGAGCAGTACACCACCTTGGCAGCCTGCACATGGTCCATCATAAGCAGGAACCGGGTGAAGGCGGTAGAGTACACATTGGACAGAGAAACTTCGCTTGGTGTCGTGGAGGCACTGGTGCGATCTCCGCACTGTCTCATTGAATGATCCCTTTCCGCGGCCTCTACACGGATGGCTTCACGCAGCGCCAACAGGAGAAAGCGCAGAGCCGCAGAGAGAAGCCGGTCACGCAATGTGGAAGCACTACCAAATACTGTGGGGGTGCCCTTCTCCGTAACTTGTTGGCCGAGTCTGCGCAGCTGCACCCACTCCTCGTAGCTGCTGCATGAGGAGCCGCGCCTGTCGAGCTGAAGCCAGTGTGCACTCTCAGATGGCCGGCAGCAGCAAAACACACTGCTATTATCCGCGGTGGTAGTTGCAGTGGCGCCGTCCTCCTGCTGCCGACGCACCTCGGAGCCGCTCAACCGCAAGTATGACACCGCCAAAAGCCAGTAGCAACGGTGCTGTGGCATGCTGCTGTCGCCTGCAGCAGTCCTTGATAACGGCCGCACCACCGCTTCGTACAGCGAGAGGACATGCTCTAGGGCTGACACTACCCCACTTGACAGCACAGCAGGACAGCCGCGTCCCCCAGCATCCCGCAGCGTCTGCGCGTTCATCAGCCGCTCCTCTGCAGTCCCACACAACGCCTTCTGCACAGAACCGAAAAAGTGATGCAACGATGACGCACATTCCGCAGAGTATCCAACGGTATGTAGGCATGAAAACACCTCCTCCAGACCGAGCACAAACGACTGAACAAATGATGCGTCCACCTGCGCAGCATCGGCGCCTTCGCACTCCACCGCCCCAGCGCCACAGCTGCGCAGCCTATAAGCGTAGATCAGCGCCCCATGCGCGGAGGGGGAACGGCGCCGCGCAGGAAGGGCCGAGTTTGCGGCTGACTTCACCTCCTCCAAGGCGTGCGCGGCCAAATCGAGGAGCGTAAGCTGCAAGTATGGCACACTAGTCTCGCACGGCAGAATGTGACATGTTGCGCGATCTGGTCGCAAAAAAACACGCTCCGATGCCACAACTAGAAACTCCGAGAGCTTCAACGCGAGGCTCGCAGCAGCATCCGCCGATACAGTTGATTGATGAGTCACAAAAAAAACACGCACAACACCGAGCTGCGACAACAACCGCAGGAGCTTTAGCATTGGCCCCGCTGTGACAATGATGTCAGAGACGTGCCAGAGGAGGTTGCAAACAACTATGCATACCTCCGATGGCAGCATCATCTCATCTGTGCTGCTGCTGCTGCTGCTGCTGAGGTGGTGATGGTCGTGGTGGTGGAAGTGCTCGCTGTGCGGCGTGACTGACGAGGGCATCGCATCTGCTTTACCCCACCTCTGCAGCGCCTCCGCGAGTACTGGGAGGCGCATCATCCACCGCTTCAACGAGAAGGTGTACACAGCGAGGAGAATCTCGACGAGTCTTCGTCCAAATGGTGCGTCAAACACATCCTGTGGGTTCATCGCGAGGAGGGCAGACGTCACACCAGTCTGCCGCACTTCCTCCGTCCCCAGAGGGAGAGGCGAGAAGACGATCATTCCGCGCGTCGTCGCCGCCAGCAGCAGCCACACCCAGCCGTCGTGCGAAGACAGACACGCCGCCGTGCGTGGCACGGTGTACAGCGACGGGAGATGTGCCGCATCGATTGGATGCGTTGTAGCCTCTAGCTGCCACAGCTGCTGCTCCGCGTTGTACACAATGAGGGGAAAGTGGACGCCCAGCACACGGCTCAACTCCTGACGCAACTCCGTGTGCCTCCGCAGCAGCTCCTCCTCCTGCTGCAGCACCCCGTCACATCCCACACACCGGCACAGAGTGATGCTGCAAAAGACAAAGTTCACCAACGTCGTCGAGACGGTACGCGCCAACGCGCCAAATTCGTCGCTGGCATGCAAACGCTGCAAAAAGGCGAGCAGGCGAGGCAGCGCTGTGGAGATCATGGAGTCCAGCACGCACAACCACTCCCTGACGTTGATCACAGAAGAACGCTGCTGCTGCTGCTGATGCTCTTGCTTCCGCGGTTGCTTGTGGTAGGCGTCCGACACCGCCGTGCATGCCGTCTCTGCACACTGCTTCACGTCCTCAAGCGACTGCCGCTCGACAGCAAGAAGGAAGCAGTCAATAGCGTGGGCAACCACCTCCGCCACTATCGACGGAAACAGATCTCCGTCCATTGGCCACACAAACACACACACACGCACACCCGTCAGCGGCTGCAGCCTCACTCCCTGGCCTCCACAACCGAAAGGACTAATGTGCAACAACAGGGAAGAAGGGGCAGAGGGTGGGGGGAAGTCAAACGCTACAAGAAGGCATTTAGCAGCGCCACCTAGACGCTGCGTGACAAGCTCCGGTTCATTCTGTATCCCTCTCTCTTTTTCTCTCCGTGACTTCGTCGATAACGGCAATCCGGCAGATGCCAAACAGGAAGAACACCAAAAAAAAAAAAACGAAGACGGTGCGGCGCGACTCGGTCCTACTGCCTGCCCAACGCCTCCGCCGCATCTTCCAGCTGCGCCAGCAATCGGTACGCCTCGGCACGTGAGAATCGGAGGAACACAGTTTCTTCCTTCGCCAGGCCCGGGACCTCCGCCGACGTTGTCGTGTGCTCATCACCACTAGCTGCAGTGTTCTGCTG